GGGGGAAGAAGGGAATAGCCCCGGTATTACTCATCTTCCTTCTCTGGCAGTGGCTCCATCTCTTTCACGGTTCCAGGTTCCAGTGGATAAACCCACCATGATTCCAGCTTTGACTGGTCAACTTAGGTCTCTCCAGCTTAAGAGTGGTAGCAGCTTATGGCCATGGCTAATTGTGGGTCGCTTCACTGTCCCCTGTTGACATTTTAGACTTTGTAGTCAATTTCCTACGTTAGTTCCTACATGTAAATTCTTTTTACATACTCAGAGTGGTTTCTGTTTCCTCACTGGGTTCTGAATAATACAACTGATGTATATGTTAAGTGTCCTCTACTGAACCATGGCTCCTTTTAATTTTGTATGGAATCCCCAACTCTTACAATAAAAATAATAATAGCTAATATAGAGAGAGCACTCCGTGAGTACCAGGGAAAAGCACTTAGTAAGCCCCTACACAGAGGATAGCTACAGCTTTAGCCTCCAGTTTCTCCTGGTAGCGGCTGATAAATCTCCTCTGTTTGAACTCGCCTGCATGGTTTATGTTACTCTGACTAGACCTCGACTGATGCTATACGCTCTTCTACCTTAATTCCAGTAAGTGTCCCCTTGAGTCTTTAAAAAATGGCACTTTCAGCCCATTTATTTCTATTTTATTTCAACTATACTAACTTTATGAGTTCTTATTTACATCGCTACCTTTCTTTTCCCTTTTGCTCTTTTTTTTAGAAAATAATAAGAACAGGGGCGCCTGAGTGGCTCGTTCGGTTAAGCGTCTGACTCACGATCTCAGCTCAGGTCTTGATCTCAGGGTTGTGAGTTCAAGCCCCATGTTGGGCTCCACGCTGGGCGTGGGGTCTAACAAATACAAGCTGTCAAATAATTGCACAAATACTGTTTACGAAGATAGAGATGCTGCTGGAATTTTGACTGGCAGGCTATGATTACATGATACTTTGAAATGTTCATTATCAAGTGATGCGTGGAAGATGCACTTGGCAAACAAAGGGTGACTGAGAGATATGTGAATGCCTAACAGTTTAAAAGTTGAGGACTCCCTGTGCTTCCTTTCCTGCAAGGGAAATGCAGAATTCTGTGGGCTGACTCCTACCACTAGTGTGATTACAATATTTTTATTGACCACCTTGATCTTCTTGTCACCTGCCAGAACTTTTTATGTTAGAAAACATCACTTCTTATGCTATAAGGAAACAAGTGATGACAATCAAAAGCTCCCAGCCATAGCCCATTGATACATGGGGTAGACAGATTTCTAAGACAGCACCCTAAGATTTCTGCCCTGTGGTAAATAATCCCCTCCCCTTGAGTATGAGCAAAACTGTGAAGATGATGGCTGTCACCTCCATGATTGTGTTATATGGCAGAAGGAATTTTGAAGGTGTAATTAGGTTCCCTAATCAGTTGACTTTGACTTATCCTGGATGGGCCTGACTTAATCATATCAGACCTTAAAAGGTACTACACTCTTCCCCACAGATTCAAAGGCTTACAGGGAGGCGCCACATGGTAAAGACATGAGAGTAGCCTCTGGTAGATGAGAACGGACCCCAGACAACAAACAGCCAAAAAAGCAGGGACCTTAGTCTTACAACCACGAGGAAATGAATTCTGCCAAGAACCCAAGGAGGATTAGAAGTGCATCTTTCCCTAGTCAAGCTTCCTGATGAGGACTGACCTGGCTGACTGCTTGACTTCAGCTTCCTGTGACACTAATCTGAGCTGGACCCCTGACCCACAAGACTGGGAGGTAACAAATTTGTGTTGTGTTACGTCACTAAGTTTGTGGTAATTTGTTATGCAGTAATAGAAAAATAATATAGTCTATGGGGTGTGTGTGCAGATTCCATTTGCAATAGCAGCAAAATACATCATAGCAACAATAAGAAATATATAAAGAAAATCCTAAAATTTTACTGATGCATAAAAGAGGATTTGGAAAACTGGGGAGATATATTATGTCCCTAATGGGAAGATCAAATGTTTTAAAGATGTCAACCTTAAAGTAGTTTTTATGATAGATAAGAAGTGCATGAATAGTCCAATAGAAAAAGAAGTAAAATATCTGAACAGAAAATATGCAGAACATTTGGAAATCTCTGGGAAAGGTCACTCTGGAAACATCTGAGACACTAAACTAGTCCATAATCTCTAACTGGAACTAAAATCTGTAATGGTAGAATGAACATAAGTTTTAGACCAAGAAAACTCGACTGAAATAGTAAATTCTAGAGGTGGTAGGAAAAATGACTTAGCAAGCACACAGAGGTATATGGAAGTAAGCTCAGAGACAGTGAAGTTAATCAAACCCATAGTGGGAAGAGATATGTGATAACTTTAGGACCCGAGAGGGTATGTGTAAGGCACTTATACATTATTATGGATTATCTTTGAAATATAGATAATGATATCTGGTTAACTTATCTTACAGTGTAATTTGATTAGTTATGTGAATGTGCACTTTATTTATTTATTTATTTATTTATTTATTTATTTATTTATTTATTTATTTATTTTTTAAAGATTTTATTTATTTATTTGACAGAGAGAGAGACACAGTGAGAGAGGGAACACAAGCAGGCGGAGTGGGAGAGGGAGAAGCAGGCCTCCCGCGGAGCAGGGAGCCCGATGCGGGGCTCGATCCCAGGACCCTGGGATCATGACCTGAGCCGAAGGCAGATGCTTACCGACTGCGCCACCCAGGTGCCCCGTGAATGTGTACTTTAAAAACATATTGATATTATGGTGTCAGATGGTAGCTACACTTATGGCAAGTACAACATAACGTGTAGAGTTGTTGAATCATCATGTTGTACACTGAAATTAATGTAACACTGGGTGTCAACTATACTTCAATTAAAAAAGTTTCTGGGGGCACCTGGGTGGCTCAGTTAGGCATCTGCCTTCGGCTCAGGTCCGGAGGGATGGAGTCCCGCATTGGGCTCTCTGCTCAGCGGGAGGCCTGTTTCTCCCTCTCCTACTCCCCCTGCTGTGTTCCCTCTCTCGCTGTCTCTCTGTCAAATAAATAAAATCTTTGAAAAATTTTTTTAAATCTTAAAAAAATTAAAATTAAAAAGTTTTTTTTTAAGATTTTATTTATTTATTTGAGAGAGAGAGCACAAGCTGGGGGAGAGGGTGAGGGAGAAGCAGACCCCCCACTGAGCAGGGAGCCCAATGCAGGACTCAATTCCAGGACCTTGAGATCATGACCTGAGCCAAAAGCAGACGCTTAACCGACTGAGCCACCCAGGCACCCCTAAAAAAGTTTTTTTTTAAGCAAAAGAAATGGGGAAAAAAAGCACGTGGATGGTAATACAAGATGAGCTGTTTTCTAAAAATCCAATCTGGACCCCCAAATTTACACAGAGAAGGACCATTTGAACTCCCTGGGTGGAACTGCAGCAGGAGTTGCGATTGGATACCCTCTGGGGGTGCCCTCCCCTCCTCTCCAGCCTATAGATTGCTGCCACCGCAGTGGTTTGGCACATAAAGGCACCAGCGGGGACCTTGTTCAGCTTTATGCAGGGCTGTCTCATGCGTGAGTGACCTGTGCAGCTATGCTTAAAAGAATCCTATGCTTGGTATATAGTTCTGTTAAAACTGTCTTGAAATTCTTAACAATTTTTTTAAACAAAGGACCCTGCATTTTCATTTTGCGCTGAGCCCTGAAAATTATGTAGCCAGTCCTGGCTTTAGAACCCATTGGATTTTTGCTTCTTCTGACAAACAGGAATGAAATTTACTTGCAGTTACGCAGTGGCCCAGGAGGGAGCATTCCTCCAAATGCCCTGACATGCTCCCCTGCCACTGTTCCTTTTCTGTAATGTCCATCGGTTGGGTCTACTGCAACTTCCAGGAAACTGGATGGGTCTCTAAAGAGAACCTTGCTGAGATGAATTTGACCTCAGCAGCATTGCCATTCTGTCAACAACCTCCACGTTGTTCCAGGTGTGGCAAAACCTCTCTCCTGCCAGATTTCAGCCAGTGGTGTATAAAGGACCCTATCTGGTGGCCTGGGTGGTTCCTGGTGCTTAGTAAGTGTTAATGCTCATGAAACATCAGTTCTTTTTCTTTTTTTTTGAAGATTTTATTTATTTATTTGACAGAGAGAGACACAGAGAGAGAGGGAACACAAGCAGGGCAAGTGGGAGAGGGAGAAGCAGCCTTCCCGCTGATGCAGGGAGCCCAATGCAGGGCTCGATTCCAGGACTCTGGGATCATGACCAACGACTGAGCCACCCAGGCGCCCTGAAACATCAGTTCTTTTTAAATTTTTAATGTATTTTTAAAAAATGTTTATTGAAGTATAATTAACATACAATGTTATATTAGTTTCAGGTGCACAACATATTGATTCAACAACTCTATACCATCACTCGGTGCTCACCACAATAAGCGTAATCACGATCTGTCACCATACAAGGTTATTACAATAGTATCCACTATATTTCCTATGATGTACTTTTCACCTCAGTGACTTGTTCTCTAACTGAAAGTTTATATCTCCTAATCCCCTTCATCTATTTCACCCATCCCCCCACCCGCCATCCCTTTGGCAACCACCAGTTTGTTCTCTGTATTTAAGAGTCTGCTTTTTGGTTTATGAAACATCGGTTCTTAATCAGTTAGGTCATGGGCCCCTGGGAGAACCCGATGATACCTATGGTTCCTCCCCCACCCCTGCTCCGCCCCCAAATGTCATCTCCGAAGAAGAGCTTGCCTACTGTGACAGTCTGACAACCCCTGAAGGTGGTTTCTGGACCCCGGTAAGGGCACGTGCCCCTCAATGTTCCTTTAGGCGGTGCCATCTCCACCCCCGCCTGGAAGCCTCCACCTGTGGCCTCCCACCCCCCCCCCCCCCGCCCCGACTCCGCAGGCGGCTTCTCTGCCGGGGTCCGGGCGGCTGCGCCGGAGGGGGCGGGCCCGGCTGTGGGCCCGCCCCGTGTCGGGCTTGGGGTGGGGGTTCCCGCCTATTACAGGATGGAAACTCGGTGTCCGGAGGGGCGGGAGGGAGGCCGGGAGGGAGGCGCGCCGGTGAAAGGGGCATTGATACAGCCTGCGGCGGCCTCGCAACGCGGCGGGGCCAGACTCTGATCACGTCCCGGCGCCGCGTCTCCGCCTGGTGCTCCTGCTCCGCGCGTCCCGGGGCCGCCGCGCGCCATGCGCCCCCACGGCCCCGCCGCCGCCTCCCCGCGGCGGCTCCTCGGCCTCCTGCTGCTCTTGCTGCTGCAGCTGCGGGCGCCGTCGAGCGCCTCCGAGAGCCCCAAGGGGAAGCAAAAGGCTCTGTTGCGGCAGAGGGAGGTGGTGGACCTGGTGAGTCCGGCGGCGGGGACAGAGCCGCGGGCCGCACGGGGGCGACGGGAGTCCGGCTGGTGGGGTGGGGGGTGGTCTGTACAGCTGCGTCTGTGGGTCGTGCGTGCGCCCGGGTGTCCCGCTTTGTCGGAGTCCGCGTGTAAGGTATGACCTGGGCAATGCGAGCAATGCGCCCGTCCCCCCCACCCCCAACATGGGGACATGGAACTCGCACGGGAGACCCAAATGCTGGAGCGGAGATGCGACGTGGGTCGAGTGGGATGTCCCAAAATACATTTCTGGCCTCTGAGGGCCTCGTCCCCCCACCCCCAACACCCCGGGAGGACAGAGAGGGTTAGGGCGGCAAGGGGGGAGAATGAGAAGCTTGAGTCGGTTAGAAGGTGGGCCTGGGAGCTGTCTGGGAGACCCTGGACTCGCTGTTCCCCTGGGTGGGCCTGGGCCAGAGCCCTGCGACGTGTCCTGTGTTGGGGCTGGTGGCCACGTCTGCCTGCAGGAGAGAATAATAACCCTCACAAAGTATCCGTCCAACTCTTTGTAACTTGAACACTATGAGTCATGTTGGGTCATCTTCCTAGGGAGTGTGGGCTGCAATTTACTTTGTCGGACAACCACAGCTCAGGACAGGAATGGTTCAGAGGGATTAAGGCCAGAAGGGGAAAATGAAGGGACCCTGCACTAACCTTCCCAGGACCCAAGTCATTGTTCTGTTTATAGTCAGATGGGCAGTCAGTCCTTCCAGATACCCTGGGTCCTCAGCCTGTGGCCACCAAGCAGGAGCACCACAGTGGAGCTAAGGGAGAAGACAGTTTTCAGAAGAGAAAACAAACAGCCCAAGTGCTTTCTGAGGGTCTAATCTATGGGAAGGTCTGTTTGCTTAAAGCTCTTTCCCTCCAAAAGTCAACAAACCCAGTGGAGAGCAGAGCAGTCCTCTGCCCTGTGTCAAGAGCTGTCCTTTCACAACTACCATATTCCTTGGCACATAATAAACTTCAGTCCTTAGGCCAATCTTATTTGCAGACAAGTGTCGTTTACAGGCATTGCAGGACCTAAGGTGGGGGGGCATTATTTTGATAAAAAACAAAACAAAACACCTGTTTCTCTAAGCTGCCATTATAAACTGAGCTAATAAACCAAACTCCCTGGCAGCTAGTTCTATGCCAGATTCAAAACCTCTGGAAAAAAATTCCTGCCATTGCACACTGCACTTTTTGGTGATGCGCTATGTAATTTTGCTCCACAAAGCAGACAATGTGTTCAGGGCTACGGTTTTATTTTAAGTGTCTAAATTGCCTAAAACTGTACCAAATGGCTGGGGTTCATGTGCAGTTTGCATTTTATGAATTTGTAATTATGATGCACAAAATACCCCTTTTCTCCATAAAGCTAGCAATTTTTTCTTTTCCTCCACGGATTTACAGTACCTGCGGTTTCCCACAACTCTCGCCCAACTTGGAAAAGCTTATTGTGCAACCAAGCTCAGGTGCATCCTGTAGATTAGGTTTGGTTTTGCTGGAGAAAAAAAAAATGTTCATGTGGTCACTGAGAAGGTTTCAAGAAGGTTTCTATAAAGCAACTTCTTTGTACGGGACCTTTCAAAGCGTTCCTTTCAAGCTTCCAGCAAGCTCTGCCCCCTGGTGGCCAGTGGAAAAACAGGGGTTCATTCTACAGACATTTACAGAACGCCTGCCTAGTACTAAGCCTATGCTGGGTTAACATTTTTATTTTTATTTTATTTTATTTTTTTTTTAAAGATATTTATTTATTTATTTATTTGAGACAGAGAGAATGAGAGAGAGAGAGCACATGAGAGGGGGGAGGGTCAGAGGGAGAAGCAGGCTCCCCGCCGAGCAGGGAGCCCGATGTGGGACTCGATCCCGGGACTCCAGGATCATGACCTGAGCCGAAGGCAGTCGCTTAACCAACTGAGCCACCCAGGCGCCCCATTTTTATTTTTTTATTATTAATTTTTAATTTTTATTTTTTTTAAAGACTTTATTTATTCATTCATGAGAGACAGAGAGAGAGAGAGGCAGAGGGAGAAGCAGGCTCCCAAGGAGCAGAGAGCCCGATGCGGGACTCGATCCCAGGACCCCGGGATCATGACCTGAGCCGAAGGCAGACGCCCAACCATCTGAGCCACCCAGGCGCCCCTGGGTTAACATTTTTAAAGTGAAAGAGGACATGTAATACCCGTGGAACCAAATTCAATAAAATTATGTGGCCACTGAAATGCAGGTTTTAGATAAAAATCTGAATAAACATTCTCAACCTTGGCCCTACTGACATTTGGGGCTAGATAATTCTTTGTTGTGGGGACCGTCCTGCACATCGTAGGATGTTTAGCAGCACCCGCGGTCCCTATCCCCATTAGATGCCAGTGGTACCCTCCCCTCCCAAGTTGTGACAACCAAAAATGCCTCCAGACATTTGCTAAGTATACCCTGGGGGACAAAATCATCCCTGATTGAAAACTAGTGATACATAGGAAAATAAAACTTTGTGTATCATCTTGCCTCCGGGGGGGCAGGGATAATAGTGAAAAAAAAAAATCATGGGGCACCTGGGTGGCTCAGATGGTTAAGCGTCTGCCTTCGGCTCAGGTCGTGATCCCGGGGTCCTGGGATCGAGCCCCACATCGGGCTCCTGGCTCGGCTGGGAGTCTGCTTCTCCCTCTCCCTCTGCCTCTCCCACTGCTCATGCTCTCTCTCTCTATCTCTGTGTCTCAAATGAATAAATAATAAAAAAAAAATCTTAAAAAAAAATCAGAAGTCTTGTTTCTCCCTTCCCACTTGAAATCTATGTCTAAACATGTATCTGCTAGTGAAAGTGAATGAGATTACTAAAATGAAAAGTAAGTCTAAAATAAACCAAACTGTTTTAGAATATTTTATACTTTAGCTTGTCTTCAAATTTTGTTAAATACATTTGTAATTTTGTTAAACACTTTTAGTGTTTCTTTGGTAATAAATAAATAGTGCCTTTTCTTACACCAGGAAAATGGTAGTGGCCAAAGTCATGACAAAAATCATTTATCAGTGATTTGATAGATGAAATTGGTGATGTGAGAAGAAATTGATTGGGAAACATTATGTACATGAGGATCCTTCCTAGGCAGCGGCATTGCTGGATTTTATGATATGACCATGTCTAAGTCCAGAAGTTATTTTAATATATAAGGAATCTTGGTTTTTGTTGTTGTTGTTCTCACTGGACAGTGTCGTTATACAGAATGATAGTACAATTTACACCAATAGGGGAATGTTAAAGTAAAAATTTAAGTGGATTGCATTTGAGGTTGGGGTCCTAATAAATGGACCAATTCCAAAAAAGACAGGGGAATTAGACAGATGGAGATAAAATATTACCTTTACCACATACCCAACTATGTTGGTGTGTGTGGCTTGTGTGTGCGTGCTGGCCGACGGGTTTGCCAATGCTGTCTGTCCCAGGTCTAGACCCTGGTAAGGTCCCCCCAAGGGAGTAGACACACCTGCCCAGTGTCACTGCCTCACGTGATCTTGGGGGGTAATAAGAATCATCATGGTTGACATACGCAGTGCATACTATGTGCCCTGCACGGGTCTAAGCACGGTTTTATATAGGATCTCACTTAAATCTCACATGAACCCTGCCAGGTAAGAATCTTTATTATTTTCCCTCTTATACAGGGAAGGGAACAGGCACTGAAATGTTGAGCAAGTTGCCTTATCTCACATAGCTAATAAGCAGTGGAACCAGGATTAAAAATCCAGAGAATCCATGCTCTTAATTTCTACCTGATACTCTTGCTGTCGGCCCACCAAGAAAACCAGAGAGAATCCTGGCACTTAAGAGGTTTGAGAGAGGGGTGCCTGGGTGGCTCAGTCGTTAAGCATCTGCCTTCAGCTCAGGTCATAATCCCAGGGTCCTGGGATCGAGTCCCACATCGGGCTCCCTGCTCGGCGGGAAGCCTGCTTCTCCCTCTCCCACTCCCCCTGCTTGTGTTCCTGCTCTCACTATCTCTCTCTCTGTCAAATAAATAAATAAAATCTTAAAAAAAAAAAAAAAGAGGTTTGAGAGATTACTGCCACCTTACTGGTGGCACTTACCAGTGGTCACCTGTGACCAGGCCATTTGCTCCTGAGGAGATGTGAGGTTGGAGGCCAGAAGTTTTAATCTAATGACACTTCCTTCACATAAAATAGAAGCGGGAGATGTGCAATCCAATTCAAAGATATTGCTGGTGTAAGATAATTATTAACTAAGATTTTTTGATAATTATATCCCTAGGACTATGTCTTAGGGAAATAATTCAAAAGACAAAAAAAGTTATACGGGTGAAAATTTTCATTACAATAATACTAATGATAGAAAAAATAGAAATAACCTAAGTATCCCAAAATAGTGCAATGTTTGCATAAAATTTTTAAAGTATCATTATGATACTTTACAGTGCTTTACAACATATAGGGTTAGAAGAAAAAAGCAGTATATCTAATTATGTTCACCCTGGAATACAGCAATTTAAAAATCATGTATGCTTTTTTTTTTTTAAATCATGTATGCTTTTAATAAGCAGTAGAGAAAAGGCAGGCAAATGAAAACATTTTGTCTTTTTTGATTTCTCTGTGTGTGTGTGTGTGTGTGAGCAGTCTGTGCAAAAAAAAATGGGAAAGAAATCTCAATATTTTAGAAACAACTTTAAAATCAGTTCTCTATAGTAACTCATCTAGAACATGTGCAAGTGGTATGAAGGGATTCTTGACTCCAAGGGCTCAAAATAAATGCAATTCTAGGGGCCCCTGGGTGGCTCACTTGGTTAAGCGACCAACTCTTGGTTTCAGTTCATGTCATGATCTCAGGGTCCTGGGATCAAGCCCCCCTCATTGAACCCCCAGCTGAGCCCCCAGTCGAGCCCATTGAGCCCCAAGCGAAGCCCCATGTTGGGCTCCATGATCAGCGGGTGTCTTCTTGTCTCCCTCTCTCTCTGCCCCTTCTGCTCTCTCTCCCTCTCTAAAATAAATAAAATAAATCTTTTAAGAATGCAACTAATCAGAAAGAGCTTTGAATCTTGAATGATGAGGGTTTGTCCCCTTTTCCTTTTTCTGCTCTAGTATAATGGAATGTGCTTACAAGGACCTGCAGGGATGCCTGGGCGAGATGGAAGCCCTGGGGCCAATGGCATTCCCGGTACCCCTGGGATCCCAGGTCGGGATGGATTCAAAGGAGAAAAGGGGGAATGCTTGAGGGAAAGCTTTGAGGAGTCCTGGACACCTAACTACAAGCAGTGTTCATGGAGTTCACTCAATTATGGCATAGATCTTGGAAAAATTGCGGTAAGTGAAGTCTGAATTATTTTAAAGTTGAAGCAAAACTTAAGAGTGTTCATAGTTGAGTGCGAATTTAAGATTTTATTTTATTTTTGCTAAAAGACTTTTACAAAATTAAGGAGTAGGGACCCTGTGGCTAAGTTAGAATTAATGAATAAAAAAGATAACATTTCAGAGTTAATTTTATAAAGGTATTTCTAAGACAAATAAATCACCATGTTATTTTAAACCTAATAATATCTAAAATAACACTCCTTTTTTAAAAACGCAAGCAAAAAGAGAGAGCATAAGTATCTGTGCTGGACAGTAAGCAACTTTCCAATCTTGTTTGAAAGTGAACTTAACTTTAAATTAGTATAAGAAAGGGGCTCCTGGGTGGCTCAGTCATTAAGCGTCTGCCTTCAGCTCAGGTCATGATCCCAGGGTCCTGGGATGGAGCCGCGCATCGCATCGGGCTCCCTGCCTAGTGGGAAGCCTGCTTCTCCCTCTCCCAGTCCCCCTGCTTGTGTTCCCTCTCTCGCTGTGTCTCTCTCTGTCAAATAAATAAATAAAATCTTTAAAATAAATAAATAAATAAATGAGTATAAGAAATTCTGCTGTGGCTCCAGACACCATAAGGGTGGGAAGAAATTTCCAAGAAACTAACCCTGTGATAGGAATGATCTCCCAAGTGGGAAGTCCATTGGTATTTGTCCTTATTCTGGGTAGCAGATGTGGCTTAAAATTACTAAGCTTACGAGAAGTGGAACGGACCAGAGATGTACAACAGTAAGCATTTAAAATTTTTCTGCAACATTTAGGGGGGAAAAGTACTCAAAAGAGCCTGTCTAGCAACGCATTTTGGTTAATGATTCAGTCACTTTAATTAGTGTTTGCTTTAAAGGTAACTGGCCAGACGACTGGGATGGCACAGAATTGAAGAAACTGGTGCTATTCCTAAGGCTCTTTCTTTTGTTGACCAACTCTGTACATGGTTCCGTGTGTATATTATTATTATTCAACAATACATTATTCCTTGATATCAACCACTCCTACCACCAGGCAAATGCAAGTAGAAGAGATCTTACTTTCACAGAACTCTGAGATGCTCCTCATCTCAGCTCTTTACTGTCTGTTCCATTATCTATAAAAATGTTTGAGGCTGTCTTGATTTGATTTTTTGTACTAGAATTTCCATAGAGCCTCCAGAATTTTGGTGACTGTGACCATTTTTATTTTCCTGTTACTTCTTAGAAAGCATTGTGTTTAAATGTGTTAAAATGTTGCCTGCTTCTTTAAACTCCTGACATTGATAGACTGGTTACTTATTTATAGTTCATCAAAAGTTGCTGAGTTCTCTCTGAAACTATCCCTGTGCACTCTGAATTATTAATATGTTTTTAAGTTTCTTTTAGGAGCGGTCAGAATGAGTTTGGGAGCTTTCTGAAAGTAAAGGATAGTAGACCATGAGCCAGTAGAGAGACAAATTTTGCAAAGAGTAATTAGAGAAAAAACCCGGGGCCTTCTCATTGTGTCATTATATAAGCCTAAAACCTCCACCTCTGCTTTACCCCTGATACTGTTTGCTGTTGCGCAAAAAGAAACTGGTCAAGAATAAATATATAGTCTAGAATATAAGTTCCATGAGAGCAGAGATTCTGTTTCATTTACTGTCGTTAACTGTAGCATCCAGCACGTAGGGCTCAGGAAATATTTTTGGAATGAAAAAAGAAAAGTAAATACATAGACTGGTTTGGCTTAAAATACTGAAGACCAGCTGTTTTGAGTAAGACTAAAAGATACCTTCCGTGGTGTGAAGAATTCTAAGAATGCCATAATTTGATTTTCTTAGAGTGTCTAATATCAATATGAGTCTCTTCTCTGCCTTGCAGAGAATCTCTCTCCTTCTGTAAAAGCTAAGCTTTTTAAAATGTAGTTTGAGGAAAAGGAAAATTGAATAACATTCACACTACAACTTGAAAGCATCTTTTGAATGAAGATTGAAAATGCTAATTGAACCCTATTTCTGTGTTTGTGATAGGAGTGTACATTTACGAAGATGCGCTCAAACAGTGCTCTGAGGGTTTTGTTCAGTGGCTCCCTTCGGTTAAAATGCAGGAATGCATGCTGTCAGCGTTGGTATTTCACGTTCAATGGAGCTGAATGTTCAGGACCTCTTCCCATTGAAGCCATCATTTATTTGGACCAAGGAAGCCCCGAACTCAATTCAACAATTAATATTCATCGCACTTCTTCTGGTACGTGGAAGAGTGACTGCAGGATGTGCCTGATGACTTTGGACACGAAAGACTGGTCTTAAAGCCACGATCATGTTGGTTCCCCAGCCTGTGATAAAGAGACCTATAGCAAGTTTTCAGTACCTAACTACTCACTCTGGTTGCATTCAGAATTCCCTGAAATGGATCTTTAAAAAAATGTACAGATAACTGGGCTCTGCCTCTGACGGACTGAATCAGAATCTCTGGGGATAATACCGTATTTTTTTTTTAAAGATCCCCAAGGTTGAAAATCACTGAATTAGATGAAATGGCAAAACAGCCCATAATGCCACAGAGCAGTGGTTTTCAACCCTGGCTACACATTAGGCTCAACTACGGAACTTAAAAAAATCCCCATACCTGGGTACCACCCTTCCAGGGAGTCTGACTTAATGGGTCTAGATGCAGCCAAGGCCCTGGGATTTCAGAATCGTTTCCAGGTAGCCTAATGCTCAGCCAAGGTTGAGATCCACTTGATAAGGAGATTATTTCTCCACCTTGTCCTTTAAAAGGATAGATATTGTCTGCTGAATTTGTAAAAGAGGACATTTCTATAGTGCATTCTTTGTTTCTGCCTCGTATAAGAGAAAAGACATTCATTTAAACCAGTGGTCACTTAAGCTGTAAGAAAAAAAAATTATTGGTTTGTTTTATTCTATTTTAAGGTTCATTAAAGAAAGCTTGGAAGATACCAAAGAAATAGAAGGGGTCGGGGTGTCTATTAATGTCCTCACCCAGACACACCTCTATCGATATTTGGCTGCTGGCCATTTTGGTTTCTTGAGTTGCAGTGGGATTGTACATCATGACAGTCCCTGCTGGGAGAATCACAAGATGTATGTATCACTAGCTTCATTCCCCTGATGTCTTGCAGGGATTTCTCACTAACCTTGTACTTAAAAAATGGCAGAGGGAAGAGAAGAGATCCCTCCACTGTTAATAGAGGAAATTCTATTTCAGCATGCTTTGGGGATCCAAGTCAGATACTGAACCCAAAAATTAACAGAGCACGTTTATTCCTGAGAAATCAAGGGCATCCCTTCTGCATTATTCCTCAAATCCCCACACTATCCTTGAGACATAAAGAAGATATTTGAACCCCCTCTCTTGGCCTATAGAGAAGGTCCAGGGAAATAAAGTGTGTTATGCAGGACAGTAGAATCAGTGTTCAAGAGAGCAGAAACCAGCTCCTTGCCTGCCGTCTTGTCTCCCCAGCCCTCTCTTTGATCAGGTTAAAAAGCTTCATCACTAAGTCCTTAGATACTTGTGCTGGAAAGGATGATGTGTTTTCCATCTGAGAAGCAGTCTCTACAATAAGAAAAATCTAGATATAACATCAAAATTTAATTAGGAAGTGATATATGTTTAGTATATATGTTATTAAATTATATATATAAGTATATATATTAAACATTACATACTCTATAGTATGTATGTGATAAAAATAGTTGGTATAAGCAACTTACTTTCTACTGTATTACCTTTAAGGTGTTTGTGCTAATATCTTGCTGTAATATAAGCCCTCAGGCCCAGGAACTGTGCCCTATACATGCATATGCTTTATAACTTATTTAACATAGCAGTTCCCGACCATGGTGTAGAAATTTATTTGGTGTGATCACTTGGGTGGAATGTCAGAAGTAATTTGTTATTTATAACAGTTTTTGTATTAAGATGATAGAAGGTTACCTCTGCAATAAAATCACTTTCCCTCATACACTGAAACTCTTTCTTGAGAGAAAGGAGACACACTTAGCACATTGAGGATGACTTAGAGCCTTGGATATGCCCATGGGGAGTTTGAAAAACATTTGAATGTCACCTTGTTACCTAGGGCCAAGAGGAAAACAGGTCTAGAACCCCCTAATCCAACATATTTTAGGTGCTTAATAAGTAGCAATATTACCTTATCATAGCAAAAATGTTCATTCATTCAAAAAATATTACTGCACAGGTTAAAGACCGTGAAGTGACCATTTGATTCTCCTCATGTGAGACTGATGCTAGACCCAAATTTGTCTTACGGCCTGTAGCGTGAGGTGAACAAGTTTCTAGGCCATGGACGTGCAGAACTTGGGAGAACATGAGTATTTCTGGGCATTCTCACTCGGTGTGGTGCTAGATTAAATGGGATTGTGGCCACACTGCTTCGTTCTCCCAGCTTTGAAAGGGGCCTGAACCAGTCAAGTCTGGATTCTGAGGGACTTACCTTAGATTCATTGATGTGTCAGCTCAAGGAAGAAGATTGCTCCAGCACTACATCCCGAGGCTCAGTTGGAATGTACTAACCTACCAGATGGGAAACCTGACCAGTCACATGATGGCAATCCCTACACTACTTGTATGTCAGGACTCATTTTCTGAAAGAATCTGGCAACCTCTGGTTCCTTTACCCCCTTACACAGACACATACCTTTTTGTCTGTTAAAATGACCATTGGGGGATTTTTTTTTTTTTTTTTAATATAGAAGGATCTTGGTAAGATGGACTGCAAGTTGTATATTAGTATGTGAAAGTCCAGAGACCCTGAGAAAAGTCGTATATTTATAAAGCATAAGAACATAGAGGAAAAGCAAGATTGTTTGTTTGTTCACGGTGAGGAAAGTCCATGTACAATGGGATTCCCAGATCGAAGGACTGGTATAATGATTATGCTAGAATTTCTTTTAATGTTACAAAAGTCCTTTCTTCTATGCATCAAGTGTATAGGTAAGTGTTAGAAAAGGCTTTCTTTAAAAAAGACCTGCAAAGCAAATAAAAGTCTTGGCTTCCTTTGTTTAGTCAAATAAATTGCTTTTTTGTTTTCAGTCACCTAAACGGTAACTTTCAGTAACTAAACAGATTCTGGTTTTATGGCTGAAACCTGCAAGAAAACTGCCTGTTCAGCTTATATCATCAGATGGGTAGATATAGGTTTTTAAAAAATATTTATGTGGTAAGAAAAAGAGACCTTATCTTTATGAAGTCCTTATTGAGCATTAGAATTTTTAATTCACTGTGCATTCAATAGATTTGTCACCTACTTTGCTAAAGTAATAACATTTAGGTGAAGATTTTTGCTTTTTGTTCTAAAGAAAGCTCTAACTTTCATCTCTGTTCTGCAGTGGAAGGGCTTTGTGAAGGAATTGGAGCTGGATTAGTGGATGTTGCCATCTGGGTTGGGACTTGTTCGGATTACCCGAAAGGAGACGCCTCTACTGGATGGAATTCAGTATCTCGCATCATTATTGAAGAACTGCCAAAATAAATCCTTTAATTTTCATTCCCTACCTCTTTTTAATTAAGCCTTTGAAGGGTTCATTTTAGTGGCATTTTTATATAATTTTTATGTATACATCTGAATAAAAAGCAAAGCGAAACGTGTTTCAGACCAAAGTGTGATTTCACACTGTTTGAAAATCCAGTATTATTCATTTTCCTTCCATCAAAAATGGTTTCAGGATTTTGTAGTTGATTAGAATACTTTCTTCATATTCCCCATTCCCTGTACCTATAATTTGGAATGTCATTGTGGTCTTGAACTTCTTCTATTCTTTTAGGATAGCACTTTTTAAAACAGAAAGGCTAACATACCAGTGCTTTGTACAAGTTGTAAATGTTCAGAACTGTTTTATATCTGTGAAATAAAAGTTATTTCAAACAACTTCAGTATGTTAACCTAATTGCCAGTAAAATTAGAGTTCCATATTTTGAAGAATATAAAGAAAAAAAGGATATTTACCTGTCAGGAAATACATTAGCATTTTCGGAATTTTATCTTTAACAAAGAATAAAAAGGTTATTTTTTTTTTAAGATTTTATTTATTTATTTGACAGAGAGAGAGAGGGAACACAAGCAGGGGGAGTGGGAGAGAAAGAAGCAGGCTTCCCGCGGAGCAGGGAGTCCGATGTGGGGCTCTTTCCCAGGACCCTGGGATCATGACCTGAGCTGAAGGCAGACGCTTAATGACTGAGCCACCCAGGCGCCCAAAAAGATCATTATTTTTAACAAAGAATAAAAAGAGGAATTCTGTCCTCAAACTGCTTGCCACTTGGTAGGGAAGATAAGATATATACAAAAATAACAATAAATCAAAGACCAGTATGTTGATTGACATAAAAGTTGATTGACATAAAAGTTGATTGAGGGGTGGTACAATTCAAAGGATGTTCTATTACCTCTGGCTGAGGTGATCAGAAAGAATTCATGATGAAGGAAGTACAGATGTCAGACTGATAAAGTTAGGTGAATCCTGGCCTTGAATTGGAAGTATCAGGAACTCCTGAAGTACTTTATCTTAAAGAAGCCTATAAAACAATAACAATAAAGCCTCCTAGTTTTTGGCCTGCAAACAATGACCTAGAAAAGGCTTAGAAATGATGACAAGTCGGGTAACACCCCGACTGAGATCTCCACATTCCATTTCCTACTAAAAGGAACTAAGCCTCCTTGAAGAAATGGGTGATTTCAGCTCTGGGGCAGGAAATGTACAGTGTGAGTCTGGAACATCGTGGCATACTGGAAAACAAGGCAGCTCTGAAAGACAACTGAAAAGGATCCAAGATCCAGCTTGAATTGGTTCCCACTGGCAACGATGGTACAATGTAAGTGTCAATAAAGATAATAACTGCAATGGTTTGCAACACATCAAATATGTTTTAATGCAGGAGTTCATAATGATATTAACAAATTTCATTGGTCAACTTGGAGGATGCCAGCAAACCAACTTGTTACTTTGAAAATTGGTAAATAGAAAAAAACAAGCGTTTATTCTACTTTCTCAATATGAACCACATTTCTGGGTGACCAAATTGTTGATGAAGGGAAATTTGTCCTTATAGAAGTGTGTGTGTGTATTTTGTAGTGTGTATTGGTATAGATAACAAATGAAGAGTGATGGAATTAGAATATCAAATTTGCAACCCCTCACAAATTAAGGGATCTAGCAATGACCATCAGTGACTGATAACATTCCAAAAAGGGAGGGACCAGACTATGTACCTCTTAATGAAAGTATGTAATACCACCCAAGAAGTAGTTTTGCCAAGAAACAATCAAACTTGGATTTGATATAGCTTCCAGATATAACCCTTAAATTTTAGGAATATTTTCAAGGGATAGAAGAACATGTTAATTGACATAATCATAATCAGCAAATCTAGACTGTGGGAAACTTGAAAGACAACTTGGTTTCTTCAACAAAAAATAAATTGCAAAACAAGAGAAAGAAAAAACATGGATTAAAAGAGATTTACTATCATATCAATCCATCTCAATGTTTGAACTTTAATTGGATGCTTGAGATAGTTGAGGACATTTGAACATTAACTGGATATTTGATATCAAATAATTACTTATTTTTTAGGTATGATAATGGTATTGTTATTTTTTTGAACTTTTTTTTTTTTAAGATTTTATTTTTAAGGGGCACCTGGATGGCTCAGTTGGTTAAGCATCTGCCTTTGGCTCAGGTCATGATCCTGGGGTTCTAGGATCAAGCCCTGCATAGGGCTTCCTGCTCAGTGGGGAGCCTGCTTTGCCCTTTCCCTCTGCCCCCCCTCTCACTCATGCTCTCTCTCTCTCTCATTCACTATCTCAAATAAATAAAATATTTAAAAAAAAAGATTTTATTTTTAAGTAATCTCTACACCCAACATGGGGCTCAGATTCACAAACCCGAGATCAAGAGTCATATGCTCCACTGAGCCAGCCAGGCACCCCATATTGTGGTTATTTTTGAATAATGTTTATGTTTTAGAGGTCCTGCGATATTTAAGGTAAAGTGATATGATGTCTGGAATTTGCTTCAGAATATCTGGAAAGGAAAAGTGGGTGAAAAGGAGTCTAGATGAAATAATGTTGAAAAGAGAAGTTAACCAAGATGGGTAAAAATTTTGAGAAATGGGACTGGGATTAAGAACATTTTGGGTGGGGACAAGTTAGTTCAGACCTCTTTAAATTGGCACAGACTGTGAAGATACTTGGGTTCCATGTGAATGTCTACCAAAGAACATCCATTGCAGAGGAGGCTCTTAATAATGAGATAGACAAAATAACACACTATTGATGTCAGCTCCTTTCCCCAGCCACGCCAGTGCTAGTTCAATGGACCCATGAACAAAGGGGCCATGGTGGCAAGGATGGAGGCTATTCAACAGCATGGAATTTCCCTTAAAAGGTTGGCCTGGCTAATGTTACTACTTAGAGACCAGCATTGAGTATGTAATATTGGCACCATTCCCTGAGAGGACAAGCCAGACACCTAGTGGACCTCTTCTACCATGGAGGGGCAGAGATTCTTTCTCATGCAAATAGACATATATTCTGGATATAGATTTGCCCTCCATGCCCATAATACTTCCGCCAGCACTACTATGCATGGACCTACAGAATGCCTTAACCACTGTCATGGCATTCTACTCCGCACTGCTCCAGATCCAGAAACCTCATTTTACAACAGAGAAGTGCAGCAATGGGGCTCACCACATGGAATTAACTGGTCTTACTACATACCCCATCACCTGGGAGTGCCTAGTCTAAAGGAAAGGTGAAATGGCTTACTGAGGACTCATTATGGTACCAGTCAATAGACAGCATCCTAGAAGAATGGGGGTTTGTCTTACAAGACACACTATGTGCTTGGATCAGAAATCATTATATGCTGTTATCTCTCCTGTAGCCAGAATACAAGCAGTGGAAGTGAGAGCGTGTTCTCTCACTATTATACCTAATAACTCATTTGTAGACTTTTTGCTTCCTGTCCTGGCAACCTTGAATGGCTGGTTTGGAGATCTTGGTATCCAAGAGGGGACTGCTTCCACCAGGGGACACAAAAGTAGTTCCGCTGAATTGGAAGATGGGACTGTGCTAGTTTTCTGTTGACTGCATAACTAATTTAGTAGACTAAGACAACACAAATTTATTTATCTCATGGTTTCTGTGGGCCAAGGGTCTAGGTACAGGTTAGTTGAGTCTTCTGCTCGTGGTGTCACTAGGCTGAAATCAAAATATTGGCTCAGTTGTCTCATCTGACACTCAGGATTCTCTTGTCAGCTCATGTGATTGTTAGCAGCATCCAATTCCTTGCAGCTGTGTTGAATAGCTTGTTTTCTTGATGTGAGCTGAGGCCTGGTTTTACCTCTTGGAGGTTGCTCCCAGGTGCTTGCTATGTGGCCCCTCCTCTTACAACATGGCTGTTTTTCTTCCAGACCAGCAAGAGAAATTGTCTGCTTTTAAGGCTTGCCTGATTAGGTAGGTTGGACCCACCCAGGATAATCTCCTTTTGGATTATAGCCAACTGATTAGGGACCCTAATTACACTTGCAGAATTCCTTCTGCCATATAACATAATCACGGACTTGATAACCAACTATGCTCAAGTAGAAATAGGTTGTTTACATCAGGGGGCAGGGATCATAACATGTGTTAGAAGCCCACCTACTGCAGACCGCCACCTGGCCATTTTGCACTCTTTATACCACTGAACCAACAGGTGAAAAACAGGAGGTTTATCTATCGGCTTTGCTGATGGATCCCAATGACCAAGGGAAATTGGTTGCTACTATGGTGGAAGTGTTTGGAACCCAGAATATTTTCTGAGGTTCTAAAAAGTACTTCCTTGTCAAAGATTAATGGAGAACTGCAGGAACCAGAAAAGACAGAGTGACTGGGGATCCAGACCTTTCAGAAAGGAGGATTTGGATCGACTTCACCAGGTAAAGAGCCCAGAGCTGTGGGTTATGGCTGTGGGCAAGGAAGATGTGGAATGGGTAGTTAAAGGTGGAAGCTATAGATACCAACTACGGCCTTGTGAACAAGGACAGAAACCAGGACTGTGGTAATTTTGGATATTTTCTCTTTGTTATATGCCTGTTTATACATGCTAACCCCTTTTCTTCCTTTCTCTCCTTCCCATCTTTATTTTGTATAAAAGTTGGTGGAGGTCAACTTTACAATGTAGTCTTTAGTTAACAAAATATTCATTGGGACCATGACTGAATTTGAGGAGTATTTAATATAGCCAGCAATGGATTCCATGACTGTTGGGCTTTGTTTTCTCATATGGGGGAAGGGCAGGCACTTCACTTATCGGGATGGCTGTCTCATGCTAGGGTTAAAATACAGTTAGTTGCTTCGTCCTTGTGCGGGAATTGGAATGTGTGTAGAAGGTTGCAAATGAAGCTAAGTACTCCAAAGGGTCAATTAAACTACTCATCAATTTGTTGCTTCTGAGCTCTAAATTCTATCTTCAGTGCCTACAGCTGCGATAATGAACTGGCCTCTAAGTATTTCTCCTTTAGAAGGAGCCTGCTAAGAGAATACTGGAGGGACATTGCAGAAGCAAGCAAGCACATGGTTTCAGTGTGCCGCAACGTGCTTTTTC